TGGGTCAGTTAAGAAAAAAATTAGCAACTAGCTTCTAGTAAGTGGTGGTGACTACAAGCATGTACTCTAGGCAGTTCTGTGTGAGGTCCCGTAGTGAGCATCATAAAATGTGCCCCTTTGGCCAACTACCCTGTTGTTTACATGTGGCATAAAGTGTAAGATCTGGAGCCTGAATGCTGATTTTGTAAACTTAACTAAGAATCTTTAGGCGATACAAACTGTGTATGTGTGTGTATCAGTAAAACAAAAGAATACCTGTATTTTTAAAATATGTAGAAATAAGATGTTTGATGACAGACAATTTCATTTGATAAAGTATTTTTTTCCTAAAGATAGTACTCTCTTCCCAAAATACTATCATTATTTTTATTCTGACAATTTGCATTCAATGATATCACCACTACCTTTATGTTACCACTGAAAGGCATGGGAAAGGTCAGAAATATTTAATAAAATTGTCTAAATTTTTTTTTAAAAAAAAACTCCTCTCTCCTTTTAGGTCTTTAAGGAAAGAAGACGATAGTTGATTACTAAAATATATTTATGTTTTTAGTTAATTGATGTATTTTACATTTATGTAGTTTATTATTAAATTTTCCAGGTCACTAGATTAATGTATTTGGGGAGGGGGGATTCCCCTCTAGAATACAATAACACAAAAAGTCAATGTAACCAATATTTTAGACTGAAGGTAGGATATTTCAAATCTCATCATTTTGCATAATATAAAATCTAAAGCACCTGTTACAGATATACTGAATCCCCAGCCTCAGTAATTCTTTCTCATTTTGTCTTCCTCATCTTTCATTAATAAAAGAAAGAATCCCAACCAGGATGGGCCTACCACTTGTTATTAACCATAAAAAGAGAACATTTGCTTATTTGTGACAACTAGGATTCAAAAGGAATGTCAAAGACTTTAAAATACTGACTTTTCTTCTCATCCTAAAGCCATTCAAGACACTTCTTCCTGGAAACGTCAAAAGCTTACTTTACTTTTCCTCTCACCATCTTAACCAGATACTGATAAAGAGGGATAAGCAGTTGCTATGAGGAAAATAAAAATGCCCTGGCAGTTCAGAATTCTCCATCTACCAAGGGGAATTTGCAGTGTTACTTCTCTTCAACACTATATAGATTTGCAGGATTTTGTCACTAAACCAAAATGAAAAAATGTAAAATACAGATTTTATATATATACATACATATATACACACACATACATGTAATGTGTGTAATATGTGTGTAATATATATGTGTGTGTAATATGTGTATGTAATATATGTGTGTAATATATATGTGTGTACATACACACATATATTTTTAAAAGAAATCAAGATACTTTCATTTTATTTCACAATTTTCTAGTCTTAAAATTCTTAAGCACATGGCAATGAAAATAATCTCTGGATAAAATGTTGAGAAGATGATTAATGCAGACTGCTTAAGCATATATTAAGTGATATATTCACTCTATCACAGATGTCAAAAGATTAAAAACTCTTATTGTGGTTAAGAGAGAAACAAATACCTATTTAATAGAATAATGATAATAACTAGCTGTGTTGAATTGCAAAATAACTTCAAATACAGGAAACATGAAAAAGATATTTTACATCTTTAAAAGAATATGCCCTATTGAATCAATAGATATTTATGTTTTATATAGATATCTTTCCATTTATAAGAACTTTTGGATTCACAAAGATCTATGTAAAACACAAATAACTACTGATTCCATAGATTAGTTTTCACCTTCTATGTCTTCAAGATTTTCTGATGTGAAGAGACAATATACCTATAAAAATTTTTTTTGATCCTCCACCATCTTTCACATAATCTCTTTTGAAGACACCATTTACCTGGACGAATTTCCTGAAGTCACAAGGCTCTAGACCTTAGAGCTGATTCAGAAATGCTTGGAACCAGATGGACTGGAAGGCTGGGCTATTTGCACCTAATGAAGGCACCTAAGAAAGAAGTAAGTAGAGGCTTCTACTCAGGACAGGCCAGAGAAGTTGGGATTTTCTATAGCCAGGAGATAAAGAGTTTAGCTAGAATTTCATAACTCAGTGCTCTGGAGGATGCTGCCAAAAAAGGCAGGTAGTTGGAATTCACCAGCTGCTGCATGGTGGGAAAATGGGCACTTTCTTCCTACAGAGGGTTCTGCCTCTGAAAACCCTCTGGAGGGACAACTAAGACACATAGCACATAGCAACATCCACAACTCAGTCTGGGTTGCTGCCAACTCTGTTCCCAAGGACAGAGAATGGGAACCTAGAAAGAGTATGTGGAGTTAACCCCAGAGCGAGATCCTCCCCAAAGCACAATTGCTGGATGGAGGATGTATCTCTGCTTCAGGAGCCAAACACTAAGAGTAAAAGCAAATATTTGATGCTGAAGAGCTCTTAAGAATTGAAGAGCGCCCTTTACTTATTTCCACAAGTTAGCGTAGGCTTAGGTTGTTAAATAGATTAAAAGGCTAAGAGAGGTCAGACATGTGAGGGAAGAAGACCCTTTCTTCTGTTACACCTGGCTTGCCACTTTTCTCAAAATTATCAACCACCACACCCATCTTGTGCTGGAAAGTCCTTGGTAAAGTTAAAGGAGGCCCAATCTGCTCTGACAACGTCCTGGAGTCAGCTTCCTGTAGATGAGGGGGCAAGGAACCGAAGGGGAAAGGTAAGATACACGGGTAAACGCTACAGTAAAGGGTTCTAGAAACATTCCAAAGCCTTGGAATAAAGCATTTGCCAGGGTCAGTTGAAATGACTAAATGTATTCTCTTTTGCTTCAGATAACAGGAAAGAGTGGTGAGGTGACCAAGGCTAGCCAGAGGCAGAGCTAGGATGTGTACCTACCTCTCGGACCCCTAGGCCAGCACTCGCACTTCTCCCTAAGTCCAGTTTTATGTCTATCCTTACACTTCCTAGGACTGTTTTTGTCAAGGACCTCTCTTTGCCTCACTGGCCAGGAAGAAGTCCACTAGGCCCTGGACCAAGCTGTGACTCCTTTACCCTCTGCCTACCCTGGAGAACACAGGAGCTGAGGTGCTTGGAGACGCTGGGCTGGGCGCGGAATTTCCCACATCCGCTGCTGGAGCTCTCTCCCCACCCTCATACCCTCCCCAACCCTGTCTGCAGGGAGGACAGACAAGTCATTTCAATTTAATCTTATTTAAAAAGACATAACTAATAAATCTGTATTGCCAGGGCCATGGAGAGATGGCCAGCAGAGTTGATCGTGCCCCCAATCCCATTGAACCCCATTGAAAACCATGACAACACGGGACAAGCTCCGATTTATCCCCACGCACTAAAGCGCATTGTGAGCTGGCGTCAATCACGCATTATTCCTGGACTGAACAAATGCAAAATCTTGACTGGAACAAATGCTTCCAACAGGTCCGGGGCGTCGAGCTCCATTTCCCCTTTGTCCACGGCCTAGCAGTTGGCCTGCATTGGGGTAGCCTCCGTCCGACCACCCAGCACGCTGCAGGCTGCACTGCGCAATCTGGAGGGGCTGCCATCGCAGAGCCAGGCTCCTGTTCAGTCCAGGTCCCTTTTAAATAAACCAGGATCCAGAGAGAGTGCAGTTACCTGAACATCTCAGCTTTTACCAAAACTTAAGAACCAACTATAACATTTGGCTTTAAAAGGAGCGGTCTCCTAGAGCGCGCGCTAAGCACCCCTTTGACATTCACCATTTATTTTAAAGACTAGAAGGTCCGAAAAACCTGAGCCCAGAAATCCGCAGCTAGCTTTTCTGTCGGACACATCCTGTTCTAATTCTCCCAATCATTTCCCTCCCAGACCAGTCTGGCCCTGGTGGTGACCACTTATGAGAGAGGGAACCCGGAGGTCTGCTTGGAGGAAGAGACTGCAGTCTCTTTACTGGCCCTGAAGCTTGAGGCAGCCTAACCAAGCCGAGGCATGCAGAGTGTACCAGAGCAGCTGGTGGCCAAGGAGGCGGTCAAATCTTCGAATGGCAGTGCTGCCGCCCGTGGGGCTCCAGAGCATATCTGGGTCCAGCTCTGTGGCGGGGTGGGGGTGAGGGGTCTCGGCTCCGAGCTCGTGGCAGACAGTGACCAGGTGGAACTGGGGCAGCAAACCGGCACTTCGGAACTGAGCAACTAGGCTAGATCTCTTTGTCAGCCTGGAGCGATGGATGCTTAGCTAGGGTTCCCTGATACAACCAACACTTCCGCCTAACTCTGGAGACATTTGGGATGTGGGAACTCCATGTGGCCTTTGATCATGAAGGCTGGAGAGGTGTCCAGACTCTCCGCAGTGCCTGACTGGAACTTCTTGTCCTTAAACCCTTAGAGGAACCCAACTATAAGGGAAAAGGGAGCGCGCTAGAGCTTGACATCACCTTGTAAATCACTTTGTGGATAACTGTGGGGAAACTAACACTCCAGCATACAAGCTTGAGGAATAAAGCAAATAGGGAACGAATTCCTGGGTGCTCATAAACCCACCCATGCTGCCCCACCCTCCTTTGCTCTCCCACCAGACCAGCGGCCCTGCTAACCTAGAAGGAGGAGGAGGAAGTTGGGGGCTGGAACGAGCGGGTAGTGGTCACTGCTCGCCACCCAAGATGTTATTCAACGGTAACAATCCCCATTATCTGTTCCCACTTTGGGTTAATCAGACAGAATCGCTAATGCCGAGGACGCTTCCTGCCGCCTCTGGGAGGTAACTGGGCGCAGAGAGGCGGGGGAACTGGGCGGGGCGGTGGGCGGAGGTGGCACCTTCTGGGCGAAGAGGGGCTTTGGTCCGACACTCATTCAGGTACTTGACACCCAGAGACCCGAACCTCGGCTTTCAAAGTTGCCTGGGGTGGGGAAAGGGCCTTATATAAACAGGGCTTGGGCTGTAAACGCGCTAATATCCCGGAGGCCAGCTCACGGCGAGCGCCTCCCACACCCACCCGGAGGAGTGGCGCCCCCCGCCGCCCCTCGGCTCCTCGCTAGCCTGGCCCCCGCCTACTTGTAGGCCATGGCTACCACCGGACGCCTCAGCTTCACCGTGCGCAGCCTCCTGGACTTGCCCGAGCTAGACGCACAACACCTGCGGAGGCAGGAGCCGGAGCCGCGCTCGCCGCTGCGCCTGGGCCCCTGCGCCGTTTGGCTGGAGCCAGAACGCGGACACTACCCCTGTGAGTGAGCGCAGGGACCTGGCGGGGTGGAGGGGCGATTTGAGATCATGGCCCAGGTCTGACTGGGAACCCGAAATCCTTGATCAGGGATTCTCTCAGTCCTGAAACTCATCTCTAAGGCTCCAGGTTGTACATCCTGCGCGTCCGGGTCAGGAGGGCCCTAAAGCAGAGCCAAGGGCTCTGCGCTAACTTCCCGTACGTGAATTTCTGCTTCTGGAGGCTGCTAGGAGTAGAAGTATTTAAAAGGCGCTCCCATGGGAATGATTGTATGAAGGATAGTGAATGAAAAACAGCGTGAAATAAAATGTATACGAACCTTATATGCAAACCAGTATAAAATATCTTTTTAAAAATCCCAATAAAAACATGGTCCCATTCTCCCGGTCTCTGTCTGGGATGGCAGCATTGCCAAGCCCAGTCTACCTCAGGGGTGTGCAAACTCAGGGAAACCGTAGAGCAATCAGCCCATAAAGGCTGGTCCTGGTGACCCAGGTCGGGTTAAGTTCATCTGACAGAGCAACTAGTGCTGATGTTAGGAGGTTTCTCTGGGCCTGGTCATTGCTAGGATAGGAATGAAGGTTTGGAGAGAGGTCTGGCCTCTGACAGCTGTGAGGAGGTCGAGACGTGTCCCAGCCGGTGGCTCGTGCGCCCCTGGGAGAGATGTAGCAGGCGCGTTGAAGGGCATCCCGAGCCTCACCCGGCCTTGTCTTCTCTGCGGTCTCCTTAGCCTCAGACGAGAGCATCCCAGAGACCAGCCCTCCTGACTCATCCAAGCGGCTGACCCCGCGACCCGCGTCGCCAGGCTCAGATGCTGGGAAGAGGAAGAAGCGGCGGGTGCTGTTCTCCAAGGCACAGACGCTGGAGCTGGAGCGTCGTTTCCGGCAGCAGCGCTACCTCTCCGCGCCGGAGCGCGAGCAGCTGGCTCGCCTGCTGCGCCTCACGCCCACGCAGGTCAAGATTTGGTTCCAGAACCACCGGTACAAGTTGAAGCGCGCGCGTGCCACGGGCGCTGCGGGGTCGTCCGACCTCGCCGCCGCCGAGCTGCGCGCCGCGCCTAGCCTCCTGCGCCGTGTGGTGGTGCCGGTGCTGGTGCGCGATGGGCAGCCCTGCGGCGGTGGCGAGGGAGGCACAGCCGCAGCCCCGGACAAGTGCGGCGCCCCCGCGGCGGCTGCCGCTTGCCCTCTCCCGGGCTACGCAGCTTTCAGTCCTGGCCCTGCCCTTGGTCTCTTCCCGGCTTACCAGCATTTGGCGCCATCCGCGCTGGTCTCCTGGAACTGGTGAGCCCACCGCGGGGCGCGGGTATCTGAGGTTACCTTGAACTTAAGAGTGCTCTGTGACTGGAGCTGGGCTGGAACCAGAGACTTGAAGATTTCCAGGCCAGCTCCCTGCGTTCCCCACCTCCTTGGTCGCCGCGCGTCCTCTCCAGGAGTCTTGGAGCAGCAAGAAGAAAACTCTTGCAAGGTCCTTTCTTTCCCTTTCCTTCGCCCACCATCCCCAGAGCTAGGTTTTACAGCTTGAACCTTATTTGTATATTCTAAAACAGCAATTTGTATGGGAAGCAACGTATTTAGAAAGAAATAGAATTTTTTTTCCTCTTTGTGGTGCTGCAATAAAATATGTGGGATTGCGGGGGTGGGGGTGGTGGGGGGTCTCCTGCGTGCCTTCTGGAAACGTGAGGTGAGAGTCAAGACCCCCAGGCAAGAGTTCTGGGCACCAGGCCGCTCCTGGTCAAGTTATGGCCCATTTTGAATTGAGTCTGAGGGCAGACTGCCATCCTAATATGGCTTTAGGAACATGGGGAGAGGGAGCAAAAAAAGAGGGGAGGCGGGAGGAACTAGAGTTAACCTTTGGGTCTCAGTCACCCAGAGGCCGACTTGGCGCAGTCTTGAGGTGGGGTGGAGCCCCTCTGGACTCCAGGTCTGTTGGCATTTTGAACACCATTGTCCAAGACTGGGAATGGGCTATTCTGGAAGAATATTTTTGAGATGTGTCAGGAAGATTAGGTGCAAAAAGCATTCTTGCAGGCTGCAGTAGCGGAGGACTTGAGGTCCGGCGAGCACAAGGAGATCTGGTAACCCCTAATTAAGCGGCTGTCTCCCTTGCCAGCTGTGATCTATTTCTTCTAGGACCGACACCTGAGGTGGGACAAGGTATGGCAGAGAGGTGAAGAAATTAAAGGAACAACTGGCCCAGGTTCTGCCTCAGGGCTGCACCAGGGAAATTGGGTTGCCAGCTGAGGGAGGACAGCCTGGGGGCTTTCTGGTGGCCAGATTTTGGGATTGGATGGTTGGTCTGCCTCATTTTATTTGCATCCTAAACATTCATCAAGATCCAGGATATGGTGTCTGTCTCTCCTCAGTATTTACAGGGCCTCCATCAGAGAAGAGGTGTTGTCTAGTTCTACAGGGCTCACCACTGGGAGATTTGCATAGGGAGAGCCTTCCTGGGGACAGAGCAAGGCTGGGTGACATCTGTGAGGAGTAGGTGTTGGGCTTGTGTGGGGCCCTAGCTTTGTTGTCTGAACAAAGGATGGCAACTTAACATTAACACCTGGAATTTTGGGGAGTGGAGAGAGCAGCGGGGGAAGGGAATGGGGTGTTTAGGTCTCAGCTGCCAGCCACCTTGTCTTCCATATGGATGCGACTATCTTAGAAGAATCTGATCCTTAAACCTCCTTTTGTCTTGGGGACTGAAAAGGACATTGTCAGGCCTGAATAGGACCTAGACAAAATCCGCACTGTTTCCATTCAGGATTCTGTTTAATCAGTCCCTAGTGACAATGTAGTGGGTGTTAGGCGGGACAATGGGATCTTTTTAAACCTTGTGGCCTTCAGAAAGACAAAGGGCTTGAATTTTATGGGCTTACAACTTCAATTAGAACAGTGCCAGTGTGCATGGGAGATTATCAAATTTGTATCATAAAACCCCTTTCTAATAAATGATTGCTGGAGAGAGAGTCTGGACATTGTAAGACATATATTGGGACCTGTCGGGGGTGGGGGGTGGGGAGGGGTCCCCAGTTAACCCTGGTGTAGCAGATGGGAAAGAAAAGGAGAAAAGGATTTCTGAAGAAAGCTGGAGTTGAAACCTGTCCCTGTTGTCTGCTGCGTGTGGTTCCTTGACCATTTCATGCCAGTCCTCCAGAAGTGGGGTATTTTCTATGAGAGTGGGGGAAAAAGATTCATAACTTATTTCCTGCAATTGGTGATAACAAGGACTTCCTGACGTTCCTGAGGAGAAAGTGCCCAGGAAAACACCACTTCTTCAGTTCTTTACTTTCAGGTCTTAGAGTGTGCTTCTTAAATGCATCTGTACTGATGAGAGATCATATTCCTAAGAAGTTGTTTGGGAGATCATGTCCTCTCTCAGTGGGATTCATCCAGGTCCTAATTGGAAGCCAGAAACCTAACCAATCAGGAAGACTGTTCACTTGATTCTTAGCACAATAATAGGGCCTGCATACATCCCAGGGAGGAGGGCAGCAATGTCCTATTACAACAGCAGCAGGAACAGTCATGTATATATAGATTGTTACTAGCTTTCTTTCATAATGTTTCTTTTGGCTTAAAAGAAGAAAAGCCATAGAAGAAAAGTCGCTCCCATCTCCACCAATCTGTTCTAGAGACTCAGCTGCATTTATTTATTCCTGCTCATAAATGGAAAAAATAAATGCCAATATCCTTCATGACCTAAACAATTAATTCTTCTAGAGTCTTTCAGGAGAAGATATACCCAGGGCTTCACTGCTGGCACTGTGAGAACAGGGACAGGCGTCTCTCTCTCCAGATGAGTGTATTTGAAACCTGCCGCCTAACAACGAAATCATAAAGCAGATTCACAGTCAGCAAGCCTATGTTTGAAACTTAACTGCATTCCAGATATTCAGCACTTTCATATTTGATATAATAGGAAGCTTCATGAGCGCGCGCACGCGCGCACGCACACACACACACACACACCACTGAGGGGTGGGGTTGTGGAAAGAGATTTCTTGTGCTACAGATGAGGAGATTGGTTGAGTGATTTACCAACAGTAGTTGTAAACCTCTAAGAATTAATAATACCATTGTCCTGGACTTACCCCACTGCCAGTTGCCCTATAAGCTGCTTTTAAGGAAGCTAATTGAAATCTTGGTATAGTGATGCATTATATCCCAACCACCCCATCATAAGCTATCT